GATAGGAACACTTCAACCAAGATACTAAAAATTGGGGATGGGAATGGAATGACAAAAGGAGGGGAGGCAAACATAGTTGAAATTTCCACAGCTGTATTATCAAAAAAGGAAATTTTCAACAGCTGGAGAAAAGTCTTTTAAGCTATCATTTCTATCTCTATCCACAAGTCAAAACAAAATTGGGAATAATAGAAACCTGGCCTATGTGAATTGGACTGTTTCTCGTTGTTGTGTAGGCAACCTCTCCTAAGAGAGCCAACAAATTGGAAATTTTCCCCAATGTTTTGCTAAGGTCTAAGGCCATTGTGATGAAGAACACAACAATGGAGAACATGGCACAGTTAAACTAGTATAAAAGGAAAGCATTCAACATTTTGCTGGTGATTTATAAAGCAAAATGGGGCAAAGAAAGGTAAGAACATGTAAGCAAGGAATGACCAAAAGCAGCCATGGCTAATCATTGAGGAGGTCTCCTGCTAGCTGCTTAAGGTGGTAAGAGGAAAGTGAACGGGACCCAGAACGCGAAACCAACGAAATGAATAAACCCAGGAATCAAATTCCCTCAAAATTTTCTCAGGAACCAACAAGAGGGAAAGAAAATCTAAACAATTTCCTTCTCTTCCTTTTTAATCCAGCTCCAGCTAGCTACTTAGCTGGTTTGGGAGTGAGAATAAGCTCGACCCAGGAAGCAAACCAACGAAAAGAACAAGACCCGGGAATCAAAATCCGAACTTTTCCTCCATTTTCTCAAGAATCAAACAAAAGAGATCAGAGAGAGGGTGAAAAAGAAAAGCTACCTCCTTGCGATCCTCCATTAGAGACTGAAACAGCTCAAGCCTGAGATTATGGTTCCTCCGGCTCCTTTCTTTTGGACAGTGAAAGGATAACAGAGATATGGAAAATGAAGAAAAAAGTATATAAAAGGGGGGAGACGAGACGAGTTGTGACTGTGATGTGGAGGAGAGTCGTCGTTTGCCGCGTCGGGCAGCGCAGACAGTGCCGTGTGCCAATGAATGGAGGAGCGAATAACGAAAACGAAAGAGAAGAGGACACAGTGGAATTACGGGAGTGGATTTTATAGAAGGGAAAGGAATGGTTGGTTACAGGGCTCCAGCACGACGACAGCTTGGTTTGATGTGGCTCACTCGGGAAGAAGGAAGGAAGGCAGTTGCCTTTCTCGACCACTTTTTTTTCCTCTTTCCTTCTTCTTATTTTGGGTTGATGCCTAAATGGTCACCAAACTTTAGTAGTGATTATTGCCAAATTGGTTGTCCATTTTTTTTTTTTTGACAATTGGTTGTCCAATTTTGATTTCTAACAAACTTTTTGTCTTTGAAGTTTGAAATGTCTAACATATCACCATCATTCAACACATTGTCATTGTGTTTTCTCTCTCGTTCCGATACGTCATACGCTGCTCCAAACAAATCGATCTAAACTCTACGTCACCCTACAAAGAAGACATTGGTTATTAACGATCTTGAAATGCATGGTGACGTATCGCATCCATCAACAATCCATGTCGTGGCTGACAAACAACTAACTAGGAGTATTGCATCCTTTGAAAATCACACCATGGATGCAAAGACTATATCTTCCATGAAAATCACACCATGGATTTGAGTTGGCCATATCAAAGAGACCCCCCCCCCCCAGCAAAGAGAGACATGCACAACCAAACTCGAAGTACTTCAAAGTTGAAACCACCTAGCGCAAAATTGTATTAGAATTTATCTTTAACGTGTATGAGGGGATCGAAGAGCACCTGTCTAGGAAATCGAACATGGGGTGCAAGGTCAAAGGGAAGAGCAAGGATAGTTTCAAGAACTTAGTGGGAGCATCGGGTGACAAGGAACCACACAAGTGTTGGAGCAAAAACTATGAGAAATCTAGATCATCTAAGATAGAAAAACATACCCCTACAATAGGAGGGGAAAAACATATTCAAGGGATACAAAACTTATCATCAAATTCAACAAGCAAGCAACAATATTTATCTATTGCCGATTTTTTATTTTCCATATTACTCTACTAAAGCTTATTTTATTTTGTTTTGTAATGGAATGGAATGGTGCTTCTTACTTTCTCCTTTTTAATAAGTTGGTCTTACTTACTTTGTAACTAAAGCCATCAATTGGTGGTTATTACGGTGCTAATTAAGCATTTGACTGATGATCATATACGACTATAAATATAAACAATCCAAGACATTACTAACCAATCATTTGTTTAATTAATATAATCACTGTATAATATTCTCTAATTGGAATCACAACTAGGATGGATGGATTGATTCAATTCAACAATAATGGCCGGTGCTGATCATTGGCCTTCAACATGATTAGTTAATGGTTATTATTGATATATAACACTAATCCCCCTCTGTCATAAAAGCCATTAAGCAACATCCAATAATATATCCTCTAGCTAGTTGTCCAATAATATTTTATAATCTAATGTTCGAAGGTGTATAGTTTGAATCGTGTGAAATCAATAATTCTTTGTTCATTTTTCCCTCCTCTTAATTATCGTGATAAAAATATTGTTACTCATTATGGTGGAGGATATGAAAGCCTGAAAATAGAAATAGTATTTAAAATCAAACCGGATATCGATTCGGATTAATAAGAGGTTCAAAATTTAGCGAATAATCGGTGGTTAACCGATATTAAAAACTGTTCATAAACATGTGTTGGCTTATTTGGTAGAGCTAACAATTATTGTTTCACATATTAGAAGATATGTGTTGATTTGTTCTTTATCGAAAATAATAATATCTTTCAAACAATACATATATAATATAAATACATAAATTGATTAAAAATTCATCGATGTAAACAATCCATAATCCAAACAGGGCCTTAAAATAGCTCAATTTGTTGAATGGCCCATCATGCTTGGAGAAGGCCCAATAGTTTCTCAGCCTAGTAGTACTTATTGGGTTAGGATGGTCCAATCTTAATTACAGAAGAATTAGTAATTAAATTAAATGAACAAAAAAGGAGGGTAAAAATGGCCATGGCGTCCATCTAATTTCTAAAACCCAAAACCCTCGCCCGCGCTCCGCCGTCTTCCGTCTCTTCTTCCCCAGCTCGTTCAGCCGCTGCCGGAGTAGTACCTCTCTCAGTCCAATCGCCTCCCCACTTCCCGACGTCCACGAATCATTACTCTCTGCCGGCAGCTGAACTCCCTCTCCTCCTCTCCATCTCTGCAGCGTCCCCGCATTCCTTCCCTAATTCTCCCCTTTCCCCTAACTGGACCTCGTATTTCTTCTGCAATCGCTTCTCTTCAAGGTAAAGCTTGAATCTTTATACCCTGATTCGCAGTTTGAATGCTTTAGTCGGTTCCAGTCAGTGGTTTCATTATGGTGAGACTAATTCAGACGTTCATTATTGTTGGCTTTGTGGCAGTATACCGTTGTGGAAATTACTGTTTGAGTTGTTGTTGGAAGGAAGGATGGGGATATTCGAGCCTTACAGAGCGATTGGGTACATAACGAGTGAAGTTCCCTTCTCCGTTCAGCGGTTGGGTACTGAGAATTTCGTCACAGTCAGCATAGGGAAGGCTTTCCAGGTTTACAACTGCTCTAAGCTCACTTTGGTGCTCGTCAGCCCTCAGCTTCCTGGCAAGATTCGTGCTCTCACCTCTTATCGGGACCTCACTTTCGCGGCGTATGGTAGCCACATTGCTGTTTTCAACCGTGCTCAGCAGGTTAGTTTTTGGTTTTCAGCGTGAATGCTAGTCTGAGTAGAGTGGATTCAGTGAGCAGTTTTGGATGTGGAAAGCTTCTGTTTTGAAAATGAATCCCCAAGTGCTGTCTTTCTTTCGCATTTACTGGGTGATGGTCGGGAAAGCTATGAAGGGAGTTTGACAAGTTGATTTCTTTATGTTCAATGCGTTTGTGTGGAGAGGAAGATGAATGATCCATATGTGAAGGATTATCTAGTGGTTTTCAGCTTGTTCATTTAGATTAAATTCTTAGTGGACTCATAAATGTGTTGAATTTGCAGGTTACTACATGGAGCAGACATAGTGCCAAAATTGGTCGATTGTTGCTATTTGGAGAACATGTCCTAAGTGTTGATATCGATGGGAATTTGTTTATATGGGCTTTTAAGCCTATTGAAGAGAATCCTGATCCAATTGGACGCATCAAGTTGGATGATGGTTTCACTCCCTCATGTATAATGCACCCAGAAACTTATCTGAATAAGGTGATAATCGGTCTTTCATATGAAGTCCTATATTTCATGTTTTTGTCTGAGAATGGTTCTTACTGGAAATTGTGTTGTCAGGTAGTGCTTGGGAGCCAGGAAGGTTCAATGCAGCTGTGGAACATCAGTACAAAGAAAAAGCTTTATGACTTTAAGGGGTGGAAGTCATCAATTACCAGTTGTGTGTCATCACCAGCACTCGATGTGGTTGCTGTGGGTTGTATTGATGGGAAGATTCATGTACATAATATTCGGTATGATGAAGAGTTGGTCACTTTTACTCATTCTAGCCGAGGTGCAGTGACAGCCTTGTCATTCAGTACAGGTAATTGCTTGAAGCTGGCTGATCAGATGGGTGGTCAGATGGGTGGCATTTAATATTTTTGAGCTTTTTCTTTGGGTAACAGAGGGGTATCAATTGAACCTTCTTTAGTTTAGCTTATGGAGATAATCCTTTTTAAGTACCTGATCCCCTACCTTTCAATGTTCTTATTTGGTGCTACTTACTTATTTCTAAGATCTTATCAACTGCATGTCTGCATCTGGAGTCTGCGTTGACATGCTGGTTTTTCATCAATAGATGGACAGCCACTTTTGGCATCTGGAGGTTCATCCGGTGTTATTAGCATATGGAATCTTGAGAAAAGAAGGCTTCAGTCGGTAATTGGAGAGGCTCATGACAGTTCAATTGTCTCTTTGCATTTTTTTGCCAATGAACCTGTGCTAATGAGTGCCGCAGCAGATAACTCCATAAAGGTATAAAAACTAGCTCTACTGGTTTTCTGAATAAGTAGCAATTTACAATGCATGTAAGCCAGTGTATGCTATATTTTATAGATGTGAAGCTAATTGCTGCAACCTGTGTAAGCATTTCTTGCTTATGTTGCTTTATCGGCTTGCAATTTAGTGGAAGTATGATACACACATATTCTTCCCTTGCTTTGTTATGTCTTTTCGTTGTGCGGAATTACCTAATTAGAGTGGTCTTCAGTTTTCTTCTACTTTGTATTGGACTATTGGTTTTTCTATATATCATTATACAAAATATGGTAACTTGACTTTTGTTCCTTATGTTTAATCCCATCTCTAAAATGTTGTTTGTTTTGCTCAAAATAAAGTTAGTGTCAACTTCTGGCTGAATCACCATGTTCATTGGAACTACAATAACTAAAATACTCTTAGATATTTTCAATTCTGATATAAATCAGATCTCACTTTTAGATGTTCTGGTGGTCCACTGTTAGTTCGTTATCGCTTTCTCGCAGTGGGGTGTTAAACATAGCTCTCTTCCTTTTGCTTGCCAATAGATGTGGATTTTTGACACAAGTGACGGGGAGCCTCGCCTGCTACGTTTTCGAAGTGGACACAGTGCTCCTCCACTTTGCATAAGGTAGGAAAGGATGCCTATCCATCATTCATTTCAGTTGGCAACCCTATTGATTCTTGCAGTTTTATTGATTCGAACTACCTGTTCACAATGTCCTAAACAAGGTGGATGTAGAATTGAAACACAATCAACCAATAGTATGTAAAAATAATATGTTAAAAACTATAGCATCATTCTTATGGGAAATTCTGTCTTTCTTCTCCTAGTACTCTCAGGTTCATGCAACATCTAGCTTTTTGAACTCATGGGTCCGTTCCAGCCTTGCAGTTTACTTCCCAGCAAGTTCTACTATTTCATCTATATATATATTCCGTGGCATGACATGATTTATCAATCTTGCTTTGAAATTGTAATAGCTTCTATGCAAATGGGAGACACATTCTCTCTGCTGGTCAGGATCGTGCATTTCGGCTCTTCTCTGTTATCCAGGTTTGGTCCATACAAAAAAAATTCTTGTGTTATGAACAGTTCAAATGATATGTGCGAAGTTCCATGCCTACTTGAGTAATTATTGTACTGAGTTTTGTACTAATGCTTTGTGTCTCTGCTGTTCCACTGTTTTCTTACTTCTGAATTCTGATGCCGGCCTTTCCGCTGTCGCAACGACTATATCTTGCATGTCAGTTTATGGGTTTGGTACAGCTGTTTTTAGGAGTGTTTTCCTTAGAAAATAATGGTGATGAACAAAATTAATTCTCCAAATTATGGTTATCACTGTATTAAGTCTACCTCTTGTCCCCCTTTCCTTTCTCGAAAAGAGAACTAGGGGAAGAACAATAACTTCTATGTCTTTTGTATTGCATATGACGTATACTTGAATTCAGCATTGCTTGTTGAGTGCTTGTGGATTGATGTACTCAATTTACTTGTCATACTGTATCCAGGATCAACAAAGCAGAGAGCTGTCACAGCATCATGTATCAAAACGTGCCAAGAAACTCAAACTCAAGGTATGCTTAAGTAAAAATACCACCAACATATCTTTCTTGGCCAAAGGAGAAAATGAATTTGGAATATACTTTTAGGCCGTCATTGCATCTGTTTGTCTTTTCGCTACTGATCGCTTCACACACTGGTGTTTGCCCTGAATTTTACTCATTTATGCTTCCAACAAGGCATTGTGCTTCGCTTCTTATCTATTTATTTTACAGACCTGTCAGCTTGTTTTCCTTGAAGAAAAATCCAGAAAATCAATAGTGTATCTGATGGAATTGTTTAACAAATGGCTGGAGTTTTCCTGAATGAAATATGTTTGCTGCTCTCATTTACCACTTGTTGGTTCAAGCATCTTTTACCTGATACTGAAGTACACGATACTCATTTCCTCAGATTGTATGTTTAGCATGATTTGAAGATCCAAATGTAGAAGTTATACAATAGATTCCAAGTTTTGTATGTAGCAGTTATCTACCACTAGACAAGGCTTGATCTTATAGTCTAAACATTCATGTCGGGCAGTTGCATGTTGGTTATCCCTTAATCTGTGCAGAAGTGCTAGTCTAGTTTTTCTACTAGAAATGTGGTGCTAAGTTTTTTCCCCCCTTCCTCAGGAAGAGGAGCTGAAGCTGAAGCCTGTTATTGCATTCGATTGTGGTACTATTTCAGTTCAAACCATTTGAAATTTTATAGGACTTCTATGTTTTTCTCTGTATCTCATTATATATATTCTGCCATTCACTTTGATGTAGCTGAAATTAGGGAGCGTGATTGGTGCAATGTTGTTACCTGTCATATGGACACATCGGAGGCATATATATGGAGGCTTCAGAATTTTGTTCTTGGCAAGCATATCTTGAGACCATCTCCGCAGAATCCAACACCTGTAAAGGTTAGAGTTATTCTCTTGGTTTGGAGTCCCATCGTTTGGGTTCTCCTTTCCTGGTTTTCCTTTCTGCATAAAACAAAATGTTACTTTGAGTTGTTTCGGTTGGGTGCGTCAAATCCTTACCCGAATGATGCGACGCTTTAGTGTGAAACTGGAGATGCTGGACGGTATTAAAGTGTAACCTGCAATAAAACAAGCATTAGTTTATTTCATAGATACCAACTTCTTAGTTATGGTTGGCGGATCTCAAATTGTTTGAAAGATTCCTTTCTTTCTAGCTGTTTGATTTCTATGGCTTCGTTTGATTTGACCTGTAGGAGGTGTGCTGGAGAACTTGTCAATATAAGCAAATAGTACAAGTGAAAAGAAATGAGAAAAGAAACTGTTGCATTTTAACATTAAGTACTCAGTTCTGAATCTTGATATCAACTCTTTTTTTTGCATCAGGCCTGTGCCATCAGCGCATGCGGCAATTTCGCAGTTCTGGGGACATCAGGTGGTTGGATAGAACGATTCAACCTTCAATCAGGACATAGCCGAGGTAGTTACCTCGACACATCAGAAAGAAATGGTGCCCACAAAGGGGAAGTAGTAGGAGTTGCTTGTGATTCAACAAACACCCTAATGATAAGTGCAGGGTATCATGGAGACATAAAGGTCAGTTTTCTTATAGCACTTTTGAGAAAGCTTTCTGTATCTTATGGTTGATAACTTGTTCAAGCACATGGTCGACTTGTTTCATGGAAATGACTTTCTTGAGAACAACTGCTGCTATTTTTTTCTGGAGAAGATAACTGGCTGAAGCTTGTAATGTACCTGTTATTGGATTTGGCATATAGTTTTATTCTTTGGAGGGTTGCTTTGCAGGTTTGGGATTTTAAAGGACGTGAATTAAAATCCCGATTGGAAGTTGGCTGTTGTCTAGTTAAGGCTGTCTATCATCGATACAATGGTAATGACATCTTTCTATACTTGTCTGTCTTTCCGTATTTCTCGTAATTTGTACTCTAAGCTCGATTTAATTCAATTGGTTGGCACCTGTTGGGATCATTACAGTCTTCTTATATAACTCAATTATTTCAAGAATGTCATCTACACTCTAGAAAAGTCCGGCAAATCGTAGGACCACTTAATCATGTTTCGTATCGTTCTCTTCATTTACTAATTTTTTCGCATGCACACACCTCAGTTTCTACTATTTGCTTCTAGGGACAACTTGTCGATTAGGCTCCTTATCAGTTGAATCAAACAAACATTTGATAAACTTGGTTTGACACATTTCCAGGTCTTCTGGCTACTGTTGCTGACGATTGGATCATCCGAGTTTTTGATGTCGTGGCATTGAGAATGGTTCGCAAATTTCAAGGCCACACAGATCGAATTACAGACCTGTGTTTCAGTCAAGATGGGAAATGGCTTTTGTCTTCTAGTATGGATGGCACTCTACGAATATGGGATGTCATCTTAGCCAGACAGATCGATGCAGTACATGTAGATGTGGCTATCACGGCTTTGTCTTTGTCTCCAAACATGGATATTTTAGCCACTACTCATGCTGAGCAAAATGGTGTCTATCTATGGTAAGTTCTCATCCCTTGCAAGGTAGTCAAGCCAAACCGTAAATTCTATGTAGACTCTAATTGCAGGGACAGAAGTGAAGCATAACATTCTGCAGATTGTTCAAAGTAGCTACAATTTGCCAACTTTCATCGCTTTACAGCTATAGAAGAGCTCTATGTACAGTGTTCATTGATTTCTCTGGTTAAAGCATAAGATTCTATTGAAAACAGTCTCTGTATAGAATCAAACTATATTTGATCGAGTAAACTTGTAAAACCCTAATCATTAACTCAGGATTGAGATCACACTAATTTCTTAGATTTTGATTCCTGAAGGCCAAGGATAAGTTTTCATCTTTATGCTTTTCAACATTTGCAGGGTGAATCAGTCGATGTTTCTCTCGAAGCTCGTCCGTAGATTCTTACGCGAGTGGAAAGGATGTTGTGAATGTGAAATTGCCATCTATCTCTGCGACGGAAGATTCTCATGAGGAAGATTCATGATGGGTCCTAATGTCAACAACCAGTCAGTACCTTGCGAGGCATCTGGTCTGTCATCTATCACTCAGGAACAAATCCCGGGACTTGTAACACTGTCATGTTGCCTAAGAGCCAATGGCAGAGCCTGATCAACCTAGACATCATAAAGGTACGTTCTCTTTCAATTTTTCTAGTGACTTCAGGTTCTGTGTTTCAGATTATTTGAACTTCCAGCTTGTTCTGTGGATTTTATCCAGGTGCGCAATAAACCAATAGAACCACCCAAGAAACCAGAAAAGGCTCCTTTCTTCCTTGCCATCAGTTCCATCTCTTTCTGGAGACATTCTGTTCAAACCTAGCGAACCAGCCAAAGATGATGATGGTATGGATATCGATGAAGCCAAGAAGACGAAAAACAAGGGAAAATATGAGACACCATTAATACCAGTGTCCAAGTTTACCGAGCTTCTATATTCTTGCGCAGAGGCGAACAACTGTAAGTATCCCGCCTCAACCCTTTCGGTCACTTGAACAAGAATGGCTAGAAGTTTCTGTTTCCTGTAACTGTTCTGTGATTCGGTTTCCTGCAGTTTCAGCATTCACCGACTACATCAAAGGGCTATCCCCATCAAACCTGGACATGGAGCTTAGGATGCTTCAAATAATCGATGACAACGACGAGGACAGCAACGATGATGATCCAGAGGATGTAGAAACGAAGCCAGAACTCATCGCAATACAATGCCTCTTCGATTATTTCATCCACGAAATATCCAGCCGCAACAACTTCGAGTTCATCCAGGCTCTCATAAGATTATTCCTCAAGGTACTACAAACTTCATCAAACTACCACTCCATTAAGGGCTCTCTTCAGTTTTGCAGAAAACGGTAACCCCTTTTATGTTATATGTGACTATCAGATTCACGGCGAAACGGTCAGACGGCAGCCGAGCCTACAAGATCAGGCAAAGAAGCTGCTGGAGATTCAGTCAGCAGCTTGGCAGAAGATAGATAAGCTGTTTCAGAACACCAGATGCATGGTCACTTTCCTTAGCAATTCGCAGTTTTGAGACCCACTAGAACGAGGATCACTAGTTGTTTTCTTACCAATATTGTTGTAATCAGTTTTGATCGAAGCCAAGAGCTAAAGATTAGTTTTTTCTGAAACTTTTTTTGGTGTAATGTTAACTGTTAAAGCTCTGGTTTTTTCTTTTTTTGCTGTGTCAATAACTTAATATCATAGCTGCAGAAATGAAAAGGATACACTGTTCAGAATGCCTATGTCTGACTTTCTTCAATCTTTGTTGAAAAGATTTATTGTGGCTGTGGGCTTCTGACACGTGGAGCCTTCCTCTACCTCTGGCCTACGAAACCTTGTTCGTCTGTGATAGGCGTGAAAATGGAGCGAAAATATTGCAGAAGAATTTTGTCATTATAATACTCTACACCTTCTGGAGAAATCCTACTCCAATCTCCATGGGATGAGAAGGATTTTCTCCGGAAGCCAAACAGCCAGCATTTCACATTTCTCTCATCCTAGCTTCGGGTTCTTTCATTATCATACTACAGTCTGTGAGAGTTTGTAGATTTTGAATGATTGAGGAAAATCCAAGTTGTTGATTATTCTGGATTCTGATAACTAATATACAGATTTGGAAGACAAAGAATAGGTGCACGTAGGCACTACCCACAAACTTAGGAACAAAAAGTTGTGGGTAAAAATAAAGAATAAATGCAAATGAACAGAATATCATTTATCACTAATACGCCCCCGCAAGACGGAGGAGGTATCAACGACTCCGATCTTGGCTCGGAGAAGAAGAAACGAGAAGACGGCAAAGGCTTCGTGAGAGCATCGGCAATCTGATTCGTCGTGGGAATGTAGGAAACATGAAGACGACCCGACTGAACAAGCTGACGAACAAAGTGATAGTCAAGCGCAAGATGCTTCATACGGGAGTGAAACACTGGGTTGGAGCTGAAGTAGGTGGCACCAAGATTGTCAGAATAGATAGTGGGAGCAGCAGCTAGAGGTTGACGCAGCTCGAAGAGGAGATTGCGGATCCATTCAAGTTCAGCAGTGGCATTAGCAATGGCACGATACTCAGCCTCTGTACTGGAGCGAGCAACTGTCCGTTGCTTCTTGGGAACGCCAAGAAACAAGAGTGGAGCCAAGGTAGACAAGGTACCCAGAGGTAGACGAACGGTCATCACGATCACCGGCCCAGTCAGCATCAGCAAAGGCAGTGAGAGACAAAGGGCCAGGCGATCGGCGAATGGAGAGACCATAGGTGAGGGTGCCAGAGACATAACGAAGTAGCCGCTTCACACTCTGCCAGTGAGCAGCAGTAGGAGAATGCATGTACTGTGAGAGTTTGTTGACGGAGTAGGCAATGTCTGGACGAGTGTAAACCAGATACTGGAGAGCGCCAATAACCTGCCGAAAACCGAGTAGCATCAGTAGGCGGAGTACCATCATTAAGAGAGAGAACAGTGGAAGCAGCAAGCGGTGTGGAAACGGGAGCAGCATCAGTCATCATGAAGCGATTAAGAACATCAACCATGTACTTGTGCTGGGAGAGGATATAACCGGTGCCGGTGGGAATGAACCTCAATGCCGAGAAAATAGTTCACATCCCCGAGCGCTTTGAGAGAAAAGCGGGCAGAGAGAGCCTGCTGGAAGGCAGTAAGAGTAGCAGGGTCGTTGCCCGTGAGTAATAAGTCGACAACATATACCAAGAAATATAGAAGAACCTTCCCCCGGAGTAGACAAAAAGAGAGGCATCGGAGTGAGTCCTGGTGAAGCCAAAATCAACAAGGAATGCACTCAATGCAGTATACCAGGCACGAGGAGCCTGCCGAAGGCCATAAATAGCACGACGAAGGCGACACACATGATCAGGGCGAGAGGAGTCAACAAAACCCGGCGGCTGGACCATGTACACTTCTTCCTGTAAGGGTCCCTGAAGAAAAGCATTGTTAACATCGAACTGAGCGATGGGCCAAGACTGAGAAAGAGCCAGAGTGAACACCGTGCGGACGGTGACAGGTTTGACAACAGGACTGAAAGTGTCGGTGAAGTCAAGTCCAGGGCGTTGGTGATAGCCCTTGGCAACTAAACGGGTCTTGAACCGGGAAATGGAACCATCCGGATGATGCTTGACACGATAAACCCAGCGATTACCAAGCACATGATAATGAGGAAGACGAGGGACCAAGTCCCATGTATTATTCGCCAATAATGCAGAGTGCTCAGAATGGAGTGCATCATTCCACTCCGGATACTTCATAGCCTCACGGACAGATAGCGGCTCAAGGGAGGGGGCCCAACAGCCAATTGAGTTTGGAAAAGGCGTTTCTTGGGCCGAAATATTCCATGTTGGGCCCTAGTGACCATCTGGTGCGAGCGGGCCGGAGGCGGAGGCGGGCCAGAGGGGTGTAGCGGCCTGTGAGAGGCAGCCGGCGTGACAGGGACGGGTTGGGCCGTGGAGGGCTCGGGCCCGGAGGATGCTGAAGCAGCAGGGGAAGCGGGCCCAGAGGACGCTGGCGGAGGCGGGGGCCCAGATACGGAGGGATCTCGCGCGGGAGTCTCTGCCAGGGGGGAGCGGGGTGACAGACTGGGCTCATGGGCCTCGGCAGGAGAGGGTCCAAACGGCACATGGGCTGGAATAGTGAGGATATTGGGGGAAAGATCCAGGAGCCAAGAGTCAGAGGAATGGGCCCTCGGCAGAAGCAGTAGAAAAACCTGGAAATTGAGATTCAACGAAGACAACATGACGGGATACAAAAAGACGTTGAGTGTTAGGATCAAAACAGCGATAGGCACTTCGTTGAGGACAATAACCAAGAAAAATACACGGCCGAGAGCGAGGATCAAGCTTGTGAGCGGAATAGGGTCGAAGCCAAGGATAACACAAGCAACCAAAAATGCGAAGCTTATGATAATTGGGATGAAGATAAAAAAGAAGGGTGTAAGGAATGTTACCACGAAGGGCGGACGAAGGAAGCCGATTAATGAGATAAACGGCAGTGGAGAAAGCAAACGACCAAAAAGATGTCGGAAGTTTAGCATGGTGAAGGAGAGTGATACCAGTTTCAACCAAATGACGGTGTTTCCTCTCGGCAAGCCCATTATGTTCTGGGGTGTGAGGAGGAGTGAGAAGATGGGTTATACCATGGGTAACAAGCTCAGAGCGCAATTTGATGAATTCACCACCACCATCGGTATAAAGGCGACAAATGGTGGTAGAAAAATAGTTCTCAACCATTTTACGAAAATCAAGAAAAACCTGTAGAACATCAGATTTTTTCCGCAGAGGATAATACCACGTATACCGAGTGAAATGATCCACAATAATCAAATAGTAATGAAAACCATCAATGGAAGAAACCGGAGCAGGGCCCCAAACATCCGTGTACAAAAGATCAAATGGACGAGTACTGGTCAAAGAAGAAACAGAAAATGGGAGTTTATGACTCTTATTGGAAAGACAAGCATCACAGGGGGAACTAGTCAGAGACGTCGAAACAGGAAGAGAATTGGACCGAATGAGACTGGTGAGAGACGAATGTGAGGGATGGCCAAGACGAGCATGCCAAGAAGTGGCAGAGGTACGAGTGGTGACCAAGGCCAGACGAACATTCTCCACCTCCTGAGGTAGCTCATATACATCACCGTTGTTTTCCCCCCTCAGCAGATGCGCCCCCGTGCGAAGATCCTTCACAATAAAATGGGTGGAAAAAAATTCCACAGACACAGGATTAGTGTGACAAAGCTTGGCGACCGAAATCAATCGCTTTTGATGCTTGGAACACATAAAATATCACGCAAATGAAATTGAGCGGAACCAAGAGAGACTGTGGAAGAGCCAATATGAGTGATTGCCAAACCTGAACCATCACCAACAAGAATTTCATCGGGCCCAGTATAATCTGAGTAAAGAGAGAGCTGACCCAAATCAGGGGTTACATGATGGGATGCTGCAGAATCCATTAACCAAGGCCCGGAAGAAGAAGAGGAGCCCATGTGTGTGTGATGGGCCTGTCGGGCCTGCTGAAAGGCCTGCCGGGCCTGAGGAAATAACTTGAAACACTGGTGATCCACGATTGAACCTCTCCCAACAACTCGAGTTATTGGGAATAACTGGTTCTTGACATGGTATCAGAGCCTTCTGTGATCGAGAGGTCTTGTGTTCAATTCCCGGTGACTCCCATTTGTTAAGCACATGGTATTCTTGTTTTCACACCTGTGCAAACTTCAAGCCCTTGTGAGTGGCTTTCGTTTGAAGGGGCGTGTTAGTGTTGTGGTATATGATCCACGATTGAACCTCTCCCAACAACTCGAGTTATTGGGAATAACTGGTTCTTGACACAGTCCACACACCTTGTTTTCCTCGCTGGTTGAAGATTGATTTTCCCGGCACCCAAAAAACATGGCCCTCTCCGCCAAATTCCACCGCCTAGACATGCACTCCAGCTTCCTCACCGGCTCCCCAATTTTCGACTCCCCGAAATGCCCCGTCGCGCCCAGTTTCAAGCTCCAGAAACCGATTCGAACCACCATTCCCAGTTCAATCAAACTCTCCACCAGACGGATTACTCAGCTCGCCGCCAGGTTATCCACCGCCACGGTGGAAGCTTCTGCGGACGAGTCCAAAGCAGAGGACATCGAGTCGTTATTCTCCACCAATTCCTCCAGCGATTCCAACCAGAAACGGAGCGGCAAGCAAGGGAGCAGTACTTCAGGAGCTTCCGGGATTTCGTCGGGAGTGAAATTGGAGAACATAACCAAGAGCTACAAGGGCGTCACGGTGTTGAAAGACGTGAGCTGGGAGGTGAAAAGAGGGGAGAAAGTCGGATTGGTCGGGGTTAATGGCGCCGGGAAAACTACCCAGTTGAGGATTATTACAGGGCAGGAAGAGCCAGATGGTGGGAACGTGATTAAGGCGAAACCCAACATGAAAATTGCTTTCTTGAGCCAGGAATTTGAGGTGTCGTTGAGGAGGACTGTGAGGGAGGAGTTTCAGAGCGCGTTCAAGGAGCAGATGGAGATTAAAGGGAAGCTGGAGAA